TCTTCTTTGCTCTCTTTTCTTCTTTGGAGTTGTCTTTTTTCTATAGAAACCTTCACAAGAACAACAAAATTCTTTTTTTATTTATTACACCATTCTTGTCCTTATTTACCCTAAGTTTTCTCACACTAAATCCAACATCTCTAGCATATGAATTGTAATATTGATATGCCTCTTGTTCATTATTAAAACTCATGCCAAGTGTTGGAACGTCACCAAATTTTCTTGTGAGCTCTTCAATTTGCTCATTATGATCCAAGAGATCAAGACTTTCAGAATCAGAATCTAGGTGTATACAATCAACAGATTCTTTACCATCATTGGAATATGTAGCACGAAATTCATCCTCTTCATGGTCCATGAGGACAGTAGCAGTATGTGCCTGCATATGTATCATATTACTTGATATTCAATGATTGACCAAAAATAAATAAATTGAATATTCAATGAATGCTACATCCATAAAGAATTTTTTTTTTAAAAACTTCATCTTCACAGCCAATATTGGTCTTCCACTTCCCATGAAACTGTTGGCATCCCAATCTTAAAAAAAACTTAATCTTCACAGCCAATATCGATTGTTGTTTTTGGTTTTTATGGAAGTTTATTTAGATTTTAAAAAAAAGACATGAATTGTTAAATTAAATAATGCAGAGCAATCACCAAAGTATAAAAAAGCATCAAGTAATACAGAGTACCGGTAAAAAAAAAAAAAAACAGCAACATAAATGTTACCTATCTTTCACTTGAACAAATGGAGGAAGCCTGCAATTGAAAAGCTGCGTAACTCTTGGAGCTGTTAAGTCTTCAATTGGGACAAAAGTATCTGGGCATGTATAAAAGGAATTAGCTAAAGCGAATTGAGATTCGAAGTATTTGGGCGTGTCATTCAAAGCACTGAAGCCTGTGAATTGCAGGTTAAGTCTTCAACTTATTAAAATATTGTTTCTCTCTCATAAACTTATTAAAATATTGTTTCTCTTTCATAATAATGTCATCAAATAATTAAAAAATAAAGAATTAACTATAGTTAAATCTATAGACATGTGTCAATTTTTAGGAGGGGTGGTGAGGGTACACCATGGTTAAGGGTGGTGAGCAAAAATGCACCCATTTCTATTATCAGTCCCTAATAGCATTCTATTGAGACTGTTTTTATTTTAGTCTCCAATAAAAGGGTCCCTGTTGAGCGTTTTTCTAGTAGTGTTGGAAAAGTTAGATG